GGGAGCCGCTGCGCTGCCGCTGCGCCGTGCGGTTGTGGCAGGTGATGGCGAACTTGCCCTCGATCTCGTTCCAGGCCACGATGAAGGCGAACTTGTGCTTCTCGCGCTCCTGGAAGGCGTGCGGCCTCACGGCCACCCAGTCCGCCTCGAGCGTCTCCTCCAGCGCGAAGGCGGACATGGCGCCGCTCCCGCCCGCCCGCCCGCCCGGCGGCGGCTCCCGCGCGCCGCGGCCCTCACCGCCCACCACCAGCCATCTTAGCGCAGCGGGGACGCGCGGCCAGGAGGAGGCCGCGCGGGAGGAGCCGCCCGCCCGCCCGCCGGACCCCGCTGCTGCCGCCGCTGCTCAGCCGCCGCCGCGGACAATGCGCGCCCGGGCCGCGCAGGGACCGCGCGCGGGTCACGTGGCGCCCGATCTGTTTACAAGCGGCGGCGGCGCTGCGGCAACTCGCCGCCGGGCCCCGCCCCCCGCGCCGCCGCGCGCCCTTCTCATTGGCCAGCGCTGCCGCTTATCAGCTGCCACCGCCCGCCCTCCGGCCTCTAGCCCCGCCCCCTGCGCCCGCCATAAGAGGCGACGGGGACGGGCTCTGTCGTGGGCGTGGCCTATCTTGGTGGGCGTGGGCATGTTCTCTAGCTGCTACGTAGCGCGCGGCCGTCGAGCCGCCCCGCGCTGGGTATGCTGGGAAGGGCACGTGCCGCCCGCAGCCGTTGGTGGGGGTGGGGGTGGGGGCGGGGGCGCGGCCGAGGCCGTTGAGGGCGAGATCCGCCCGTCCCCTGCGTCACGGCCCTTCCCCGGCCCTAGAGCCGCGGCGGCGCCCGGCTGAGGCGGCCCCCGCTCGGCCCGGCTCCTTCCCTCCCCTTCCCGCCCGCGCCGGCAGCCGCAGCCGCCTTGCCCGCTCTTCGGAGGGGTTTTCCACGCTGCTCTAGGGGTCCGTGTGGTGCCTTGGTAGCTCCCTGTAGCCTGTCTGTGTTACTCATTCTCACTCGGGGCAAGAACCCGTGTATTTCCAGGGTCCTTGCCTGGCATTTCCCATATTTCCAGGGTCCTTTTCGCTGTGCTCTGCACAGCTGCCATGGGCAGCGGGTGACAGTGGTTTGCTGAGCGGCTCCTTTAGGGGCTCCCCTGCTGCAGGGTTGGCCTTGGGTGCCCTGCGAGGCTTCCAGGTGAGCCATGGAGCCCCCAGGTTCCCGTGTGCCAGAGTGGCTGCCTCGGGAGCCCACTGGGAAGGAGTGATTGATCACCTGCCCTGCTGAGGCAGACAGGGCTTTGGTGGCCATGAGGGTGTTCTCTTCCTGTGAGAAAGAGAAAGGAAATGGTTTATTAGAGATTATGCCAGAAGATAGATCAGTGGGCAGCACTCCTTGTCCCGTCAGGGAAACCTGCCCTCTTCTGAAACAGGGGAAGCACAGGCAGAATAAACCCCAGCTGAGTGCTAGAGAAGCCGAGTGAGTCACTGATGCTCCTTTTTTCTAAGGTACTGCACTGACTACGTGACATCCTGTTCGCAAAGGCTGAAAGTATTTGAGGAGAGTCTCTGACAAACCAAACATTCTGCAGTCATTAGCAAAGTAGACTCCCATATCCAGGAGAATCATGTCTATGTATTAAATATCCAGAGTCATAGCTGTTGGAAAAAGGACGAGCCAGAGGAAGAACCCTATCTAGGCCCTGAAGGTAAGGGATTGATGTATGTTTTACATCTGGAAAAACAGCATTCTTCTCTGTTACTGTAAATTCAAGCATCAAATCAAAACACATGTGAAATGATTTGGAATATTTGATTACGCCCCATGTAGAAGGAGCCAAGCAATAATATCTTAGGGGGAGGGACTGTAGTCTGTTTCTGTTATTTATTTAAAAACTTAAGAATCACTCGTCAGCCAAAGGATCAGAGTCCAGGTATTCCAGGCAGGTCACAGAGGAGGCCAAGATCTCTGAAGCAGAGCTAGTCTAGTTGTTTTCAGGTAGTGGAGGGACAGACTGATGCAATTTAAAGCAAATTTCAGGTAAATTTAACACTTGGCAGCTGGCTGAAATCTAATCTGAAAAGTTATTCCAAATTACATTACCTAGGAACATTGAGTAGCCTTCACAGTGACTGCCATATATTGAGAAATGCATTGCTTGACATTCTCTATATTTCTCTATATAGAGAATATTTCTATATAGATATATATAGAGAGAAATATTTATATATAGGGAAATATATATAGAAAGTATTTATATAAAAATAGAGAAATATTTTCACCTTAGAATGAAGCAGCAAATAATTAAAATAACATCTTAAAGGCTAGTAATTGACCTTTGAACAGGACTCATGGTGGATACAGCCCATTACAAAGCAGCAGTGAGTTAAGAAGTTCCTAGTCATCCCAGTGGCTTGTGGTTGGTTCCCAAAATGGAAAAAAAAATGTGGGGACTGAAACAATGTGTGAGGAATATTTCTCTCTCAAGCAAACCTGGACATCATGGAGATAAGCGAGCTGCTGGAACACTGCTGCAGGGGACATGGCACCGAGGTCCATGTGGATTCCATCACTAACCTGGACTCTGTACACGAGAGGCCTAGTTAACCTTATGAAAAGGCCTATTGAAGTAGAGTTACTCAGCTGACAAGCCAGATTATTATGTTGCAAGGAACCAATGCTTTTGGAGGGCCAGAAGTATTGTGTTCCCAGTGAACTGAAACCCAAGGTTAGAAATCTAATTGATGTCATTTTTAATTTTTTTTTTTTTTAAGGAATTGTGTCAAGCTCAGAACTTTTAAGGCAGAGTACATCGAGTCATTGTTGATCCTGGGCAGCCTCCAGCAGTAATGCTGAATATGATCCTGAGTTAACAAGCCAGTGAAAGGTAGGTTCACACACTCTCATGAGGACCCCTGTACCTTTTCTGCCTTGCAGTATCATTTCCTTCAGCCTGTAGCTGCTGGTTTGCAGACACGGGGAAACAAGGCAACTACAAGATGCAAATTCAGCACAGTAGGAGACACAGTCAGAGATTGTCAGCTGAATTAATTGTAGTCTGCCCTGGTAGATCCAGATTCATATGTAGTAGATGCAGAGTAGGACGGCTTGCAAGATGAAACCCTGTGCAACTGCACATATGTACCAACACATGTTTAGAGTACATGAGCTATTGTCTTTGAGAAAAGATTCAGGCCTCTCTTGATTGAGTCACCTCAATCACTGCGAAGTGATCTCACCCAGTCATGTCTAATTGTCTTCTGCGTGCTGACGCTGTGGACGAGAGCAGAAACACTCCTTTAGATGTTTATACAAACATTCCAGCGCCTAGTTTGTGACTCCTACAGAATGCTTTAGGCTCAACTGAAATTACGCCCTTAATCTGAATGTTTAAACACCTTGGATAAACTAGTTTTTTAGTATAAAGCATTTCTGAGAAAGCCAGGTGTCACCCAAGAAGCCTGAGTTTAATCAATTCCAAACTGCTCCTGCTGTAATGTGATTTTTGTCCAAGTGCAAGCCTGCTATATGCTCAGTTAGCCAGCTGCAGAATTTCTTAGCATGGTTAAGATGGGAGGTGGAGAGTATTTCATACCATGCTTCAAAATACTGTGGCATTGTATTTTTTAGGTACCTGTCCTGAAATTGCTTTAGGTGTTGCACTAGCAGAGCTATGCTGGACAAGCATTTTTAATAGCTTTCTGTTGACAGCATCATTCAGATTTTAATATGGGCAAGCCAAATAGCAAAGTCTGTTTGCTGTTAGTGGGAGTCTCTGGCAAAAGTTTGAAAGAGTTTCTCAGAGTGTCTGTGTGAAGTGAGGCAAGAAGCTGCTGGTGTGAAAGCACCATTGACTTTGTACTGGCTTGGCAGCACTGTTTCAGGCAAGCAGCTACCCCAAGCATCTCTTGCTGTGTGGTGATCTTTGCAAATATGTGATAAGCTAAATGAGTAATTTAATCTCTGACTTGTTGCTGAGAGGACACAGTGGTTTAAATACAAATTAAATTTTCCTTGTGATCACTCATTCTTCTCTCTCCTAACCAAACAACTACTCTAACAAAGTTTACCTGTTTAAATGAAAGACAGATTGAACTCAAAGAAAATATTATATTGGTAATACTCAAAAATCCCCCTTTGAAACCTCAGAAGATACAAAGCAAAATTCCCAATTACAAATTTGTCGTCACAGTGGAAAAAAAATCTAAGTTTAGTTAATAAAAGTAAGAATTCTAGTAAATTATGTAACAGTAATCAGTAGTCTCTGTGGGGAAAAAAATTGCAGTAGGAGGCACAACTGGAACAGTGCTATTTTGCAGAGTGAATGAGTCATGAATGATGGTGCTTGCAGATATCTCTAGTGGTTTAGAAAGCAATTCTTCAGCTTGTTTGTTTACAGAAGCCATATTCTGATATGCTCACACAAGGTACATTGGGAGAGAGAAAATGATTCTGATAACAAAAGGAACACTTCGTAATTTTGAGAAATCTGAACTTTTTTAAAAGGGTAATTGTTTTATTTGAGTGCAAAAATTAATAAAATATTTCTAACTTTTTTTTTTAAATACACCTTTTTCATACTTAGTCTCTTGTAACTAGATGAGTTATCAAAGTGAAGAGTGAGATTTTCTTTTGAGGATAAGAGTAAAAAGTCCAATCTGAATTATTTTAAGATTGCTTGAAATCAACACATAAAGAAAATGCCTACCTAGCTCTCACTACAGTACATCTAGCTGTGCAATATTGAGGCTGTAGCAGAGCAGTGGAAGATGTTGCTCAAGAAAAGAGGAAACAATATTCTTAGCCACATCCACAATTCAACTCAGTCAATCAAGAACTTTTGTAATAGACAGGGGAAGCCACAAACCACATAACAAGCATCGAGTTAGACAAAATACCTACATGAATGTTAAAAAAAAAGGGGGGGGGGAGTTAGTGTAGTAATGCATACAGTGCGCCATCTGATTGATATAGCAATCATATGACAAGAAAACTATTCAGATTTCTTTTCTTTTTAGTAGCTTTAGATGTTGCCTTCTCTCTGTCTCTGGTAGACCAATAGAGGGATTGATAGGATGTCAGACCAAACTGTCTAGAAGATTATACCAGACCTATACTAAAAGAATTCAAATGTATTCAGAAAGATTTATCTAAAGTTTAAGAAAAACAGATCAAAATCTCTCACACCCAGTTAAGGAAGAATACCTCATTTGAGGGAACTCTTTTTTTCTTTCTTCATATAAAATTACTAAGATGCAATATTTAATTGGAAATTTTAGTCATTACCCATTTGCAAAAAGGAGATGAAGCTACAGGATTCTAATTTTTTTTTTTTTTTTTTTTTTTTATGAGCTGCTAAAATGCAGTCTTTGACAGGTTGAGCATTTTATGCAGTAGTAGCTAACATTCTCCGACTAGTTACCTTCAGGATGAAATGAGTGGGTTGAAACCCCACTACCCTTCGATATAGTGTATGATCCTGGCATTTCCCGTAAACATGGGAGCTATTTTTCCTTTGGTGCAAGAGAGCGAGAGAAAAAAAAATGGATGAGTCACTCATATTTCCAGTTGCATTTCCAGGCTATCTGACCTCTGTGAGCTCCTGCAGCCCTTGTGTCACAGCCGTCCAGGCCAGCTGGGATGAGCACAGCAGACTTGTGAGCACAGCCAACACTGACTTTGGGTCACAACTTGGATGGTAACATTTCTAAATACAGTCTCTATAAAGCTAAAAATGGGTTGAGTAATGCATGTAGATTGCTCATGTATGTGTGTAAGGGGTAAACCTACCACTTGTAGACAGTACTCAAGGAAGTCTGATGAATGTCTATCAGGGTGACAAAAAGCTCAGCTAAGCCAAGAAAGGGATGAAATATCATTTGACTGATAAGAATAGTGTAAGGATTTTTTTGCAGTGCATGTAACTTGCCAAACTGTCTTACCAGTATAGGAATTCTGCCTGCTGATATTCCCAACCATGACAACACCCTAGGGGAGTGACAAAAACATTGGCTTATGCTGTCCAGTTCTCATTGCTGTCTCCGTACTGCTGGCCTCAAATTTAAACCAATGTGATAGTGTGAGTTAATCTGATAGAAGTGAATTTTAATAGGAACACTTGCTACTTGACAGTAGTTCTGTGCCGTATGGTTTGTGGACAAAATCACAACTCTTGAAAAAACAGTTGTCATAAATTAAATGATAGGACTGGAATAAAAAGACAAATTAAAAAAACAGTTATTAAATGAGGTAGATATCTAATAAAATCACAAATACTAATATAATCCTTTTCCCCAGAGTAGTCTAATATTTATCAAGCTACCTTGTATACATTCAAGCAAGCTTCAGTCACAGATTTGACTGCAGAGTAGATGTACTAAAGGTCTTTGAAAAACAACATCATAGAACACAGCAAGAGAATGCAGAAGCAGAGTTAGGGCAGAAGCTAAAACACAAGGCAGATTAATGACAGTATTGCTCAACAGACTTAGAAATATTTTTTAAAATGTTAAACTTTTATGATGCTTACCAAGCACAGAGCATTTTTGAAGTTTCGATTCCTAAAAAGGCAAGTCAGCAGGTTACAGAAGTTGTACATTTTATCAGCTTTTTGGTAGGAGTGATAACTAGTAGCTACTGAAATTTGCCAGGTACATTTTCCAGCATTTTAGAATCCTACAAGACTGGAAACAGTCCAACGAGAGCAGAGTGCTGGATATAGAAGTGTGCACTAGTGAGGTGGAAGTCACACAAGAGAGTCTCCAGAGCATTACAGAAACACTCCACACAACAGAATAAACTCAGTTTATGGCATGGATGTTGCAGTAATGCTACTGATGTAATAGGTGAATCTTAATCCCAAATTCATATCAGAAGAAGAGAACCTTAACCCTAGCAGATCTCAAGTGTACTCCTCTAAACAGGAGGCCTGACCAGTAGCCTCACTTATGTAAGAAATTTTCATCCTTATTAAGCTCTTCTGGATAAGTATTAAAGTACTGGAGAAGCTAAACTGCTGTAGCTGGACATAGCTGCACCCTAAGCTACATACTTGAGTCTGATCCAGTTGCTCACTATGGGAGGAACAGATTGTATCTTCATCTGGTTCCATCTTCAGCTGAATTGCCAGGAGATTCCCCCCAGCACCACCAAGGTGGAGAAACAGTCCTCTTCAAAGGAAGGCCAAATGTGTAGAAGAGCCCACATGCTACCAAACAAAGGGTGAAATCCCTCCTTAAATACAGGTGATCAGACTTTGAAGAGGAGTGAATCCAAGATAGGTTTCACATGGATCTGTGATTTGTAGTTGAAATAAGAGTTGTAAAGGGGAGAAGTTTTTGTTTCTTTTTGTAGTGTCACTAGGCATTACAGTTTGGCAAGCTCTCAGTGGACATTCTGTAGCAGAGCAGAGAAGTTCAAGGGTGTGGGATGGGAGAGGGTGTAGCGATGGAAATAAAACATTTTTTTGTATCCAAACAAAGTTCTGTGACCGTAGAAAGTGTTTCTTTCTGTGATTCTTTACTGCTATCACATGAATGTTGATGAATAGCAGGGCTGAAACCAAATTAGGCTTCTAAAAAGGGAGAACAATGCACTTTTATTTTTAGAAATAAATACTTTTCTTCTTAAGCAGTATCTCAAATCCTTTGTGCAGAAAATTACTTTCTGGTTGTAGGCACTTCACAGTAGAAATACCATCTGTGTCATGTTACTTTGCAAGAATGCTTATAAGCAGAAATTACACCTGAGTTATTTAGTTGAAATCAGAAGGTTACTAATGTCAGATTTTGTGCAGAAGACTAACAGTACTATTTTCTGGCCCATTTGATGAGCCATACTGCTTTCAGTTACAAGACATGTGCCTCAGGCAAACAAGTTGTACTATGACCGATAGAATTATTCACAACTATTTTCCTACTGCTTTATGTTCTATATCCTCATACATATATCCTAATTCACCCTGTGCCCTCCAGGCTGCACCCATCATGGGCAGCAGTCAGTTTGTGCTTTGACTTGCCCAAAGCTGTTAATATAGGTGTGTGTCTTAGTTGGTCAGCCAGCTGATATAAAATATAAACTGTGCTTATATGTGTATGTTACTGGCTGATTTTTATGAAACTTATAAAAAAATCAGTTTCCTTTGATACTTAAGCAATCGGACTAGATAATCTCCTGAGATCCGATCCAAACTGAATTATGATTCAGTGCTGTTTTTAAATGTGGTTAAAATTGGCTTTCATGTTCAGATATTATTAGGAGAGGAGCAGCAGAGATTTGGAGTGACTCGTATCAGTTTTGTAACCTTGTTTTCTTAGGAGATGAGGCTATCCCAGCATACCAAGCAGTGGACTCCCAGCCTAATATTTCAGCTTTGCTAGCTCAGGCTCTGCTCACATTACCAACATTGTCTTTCAAAGTCTGCTCTACAAGTTTACCCTATGCCTGATATTACTTGAAGGATACCTAACAGGAATATAAGCTATTATTATATATTTTAGCAAACCTCTGGTAGATTTTAATATGGTATAGTATATATAAAGCAAACCAATTTTTACAGCAATTTTGTACATTTGCTTGCTTTTTGTAAAGAAGGTGGTCATCCCTAGGAATCGCTTTCTTTAATGACTTTTTGTATGCTTGCTGTTAATTGCCAGCTGATGTCTTTTCCAGCAATTCATTATTTCTAGAAGTGCATGAGAGAACAAATGCAGATTAACATTCTTAGTTGTTGATGCATGTTTTAATTAATCCTGAGTTGTCATTCGAGTTCCATTTGGTAAGCTATTGTCATCACCATGGAAAACCCTTTCTGTTTAAAGATGCCAAAATATATGCTATATGTTTACTCATTCTGGAGATATTCAGGTTGGCATAACCATAATTATCAGAAATAAGTCAATCAGTGTTTAAAGGAAGGAAGAGATGCATCTTTTATTAGACAAATATATTTGAAGAATTTGTATTGTTAATTGCATACTATTAATAGCTGATTGGTAAACTCTGGGTTTTTTTTCTTTGTACTACTTATGACATCCTTTTCTGGTGATGTAACTGTGCTTTGCTTAATGATTCTGTTATTTCTATTTATTGAACAACGAAAGGTTTGTTTTGTTTGGTATTTCCCTCCTTGTGTACCAACACAGCAAACTCATTTATGCATTAGTCATTCCATTGCTTCTTATTAACATCACTGATGCTTTTGTATTTAAAAGATGCATTGGTTTTAGTGGCTCCTTTTTTATGCAAAATGTTAGAGTAGAATGAGGGACTTTTTTTGATCTGTGTTCTTTTTGCCTTTTGCTCATTTTTTAGCCAGAGTTTTGAATAGGTCTGCTGATAGGAGCTGATCTACTAAAGATCTTCACTTGATGTGACTAAGGCAAATATGGGTTCTGATTTTATTGACTATCTCAGTGAAGTTCAACGTCTCACATGAAAGATTTCTATTGTCTCACATTTAATTTATACTTGCTACAGTGAGCAATTCAGACAATTCCTTCTGGAAATAAGGATGTTTTGCTGGTTACCCCACTAATAACAGGAGGCTTCCCATCTGATGCCTTTGTTCAGCCTCCCTTCATTTCAGTTTCACAAACCCTACCAAGAATTTTCCTGAAGATTTGGGGTAGTATCAAATATATTTAACCTGGCAGTGAAAAACTACTTTTTATTATTATTTTTGCTATGTAGAACTGCAAAAGCTTCAATGCTGTTTCAGTCATTATAAGTTCAATATAGATAATCTGTAATTTCGTACTACAGTTATTCAAATGTGAGTCTTCACAGTCCCTCAAATCTCTGTTGTTATTGCACTAACGTTTTACAGACATGTGCATGCTTAGCTTGACTATCAGGAATTGCCTCACTGACTTGAAAGGGACCTCTTCCATTCCAAGCCATATGGCTAAAATTTCATGTAAAGTATTTCACTGGACATGTTTGCAGTCAGAGAAGATGCTGAAAGATAGGGAGGAGGAGATATGGCAAAAGGCAGATGCAAAAAGGGCAACGTACATGGGGCCGTAGATGGTGACAACAATTCTTAGGCTAAACCGTTGTCCAGAGTCACTCATCAGTGTAACTTGATCCTTGCTTTGACCTGGCTGCGTGTGCAGAGCTCCTGGTGGCCCTACCTGTGTTACCTGCAGTCAGACATTAATCCTTTTGTTACCAAATCAATCTTGGAGGCTGGAGGGGGCCTCAAGAGATCATTGTGCAGAACATCCCTTTCTCCCAGAGCATAATGCTGTCTGTGTAACCTACTCCTGCCAGTGTCCCTGCGGACTCTTTTCTGAAGTCCCCAATGACAGGGACTCACAGACGTGTTAGGCAGGGTATTACCTACTTATTTTTCTTTACAGTTAGAAGATGCTCCCTCAGGTCTAACTTGAATGTAGCTTCTGCAGTCTTAATACTGGGTGAAGTCCTTCGATAACGTCTAAAGTCTGTGGTACTAACAGAGTGCTAAATCTGGAGAGGATGGGTGCCTGGAAGCCTGGCATGCTTAGGCAGAGTCATTCCAAAAGCAGCAGCCGCCCAGGAGCCAGTGTGGGGGGAGAGAGGCCGTTGGGAGCAACGTGGGCCTTGCCACGGCCGCAGGGAGAC